GAGATTTTCATCAACAACCATGGCACTGCACAATTTACAAGGTCTCATGTCTTTTCTGGAAGAAAAACAACCAAGCTTAAAGAACTCATGAGGGCCATTTGCAGAGCCCAGTTTGAGAGATACACATGCAGGAATGGTGGCCAAAGAGTTTTGGGTTTTTACCACTCATCTGCCTGGGAGGGCTAGATTTCCAGGACTCACAGCCCCAGCCCAGAAAAGAAAGACCAGAGGCAGAGGCAACAGCATCCACTGATTTAGCAGAGCATGTATTTTGGAGACAGGCTGCATTTGAATCCTGACTCTGGCACCTTCCAGCTGTGTGACCTTAACCAAACTACTTAACCTCTTAGGTTTCCACATCTGTTAGTGATGGTAATAAAAAGACTTCAGAAGGATGTTATGAGGATTAAATACCTTAAGTTGGAATAGTTCTTATTGCACTGTTAGGGCTTGGATGGGGAAGATGTGACTCTGTTTCCAAAGGCAAAGGCAGTAAATTTTATTTATTTTATTTAACAGATTAATTAGAATTCAAACACAATAATGTAAAATGTTTTTATAAAGATAATAATTTTATGACATTTGGTTACAAAAGCTTTGTTAATCAGGCTTTTGGACGGAAGACCCTTCCTTCGAGAAATAGTTAATACAGTATTGTAATGAGCACCAGCTGAAGCAGTGATGTAGTTGGTTCACCTTAAAAGAATGCCATGTTTAAATAAGACCTTATTTAAGTGAGCTAGATAACACTGTGTATCATGTATCATTTACATGGGAAATATTCTCGCCTCATTTCTTTTTCCTTGTCTATCATCTCAATCAGTATTTTTTCATTGTTTTTATTGCTAGGAACAAACTTCTGTCCACTTCTCTGAATTGCTACCTTCTATTTTCTAGTGGTGAGTACCACCTGCAGATACTTGTAGTCACTTGTAAGCAGGACTTGAAGAAAGATTTGTCCCTTATATATTCTCATTGGTAAAGCATCAACTTCATTTCCAGGCTAAAATGGGAAGACCACCTTCATTTATTTCAGTCCTAATTTATTTACTTTTTGAGGCCTTTCTATGCACAAATAGCACAAAAAAAACAAAAAAAAAAAAAAAAAAGATATGGATTCCCTCTTCCCAAAACTGACTTTATAATTTACAGACAAAACACAAAGAGATGAAAGTGTCTCTTAATAAGGGACAAAATAAGTAACAGAGGGAGAAAAAAATGCTGATCAGAGAAGGGAGACTCAGTAAGAACCAGAGTTGAATTCCTGCATTTGGAGAGATCAATTTGGCCTCTGAAAGCAAGGCTCAAAACATCCCTGAGCAGAAGCAGCAGGACAGAGGTGAGTAAGTTTCTATGTCGCACAAACCTCCTTCAGTCATTAAATGCCTCCTTATGATGGGGGAGGAATATCATCTCATATAGAAGTCTCTATGTATTATCTTTGAGCCAGTTTGTTTGCAAATGGCTTATCTTTAACTTTTTCAGGTAGTTTCACTAGCTTTTAAAGAGATTTCTCTAATGCTTTCTCTGGCTTTCAACTCCCACAGGGGTTTTAGGGCAATGTTTGAAAATGAGTAATATTAAAATGCATCCCTCTTAGAAGTTCATATGAAAGTGAGAGAATTGGAGTGGAGGTGGGAAGCTATTATGTGCCTTGGTAATCTGTTCTGCATGCTAAATCCAAGGGCTGATGAGAGCCACTGTGATTTCAGGAGCAAAGGGTCGATACTTTTCCTGCACTAGTTGCAGGGAGCTCTTTGGTTCCTAAAAGGTCATTGCCTTAATGATTCTGAACGTTGTGCATAAAGGATATTTAAATTCTCGTCTGAGCTAGTTCCTCATAGCNTGATTCTGAACGTTGTGCATAAAGGATATTTAAATTCTCGTCTGAGCTAGTTCCTCATAGCACCATCTATAGTAGCAAAAGTCTGAAACAACCTAAATGTCTAAACGGGCAGATTAGATAAATTAGGGTCAGGGAGAATCACATCTTTTGGCAAAGGTTAAGATGTAAATTCAAAAGATACTGATAAACAATATCAAAATTGATGTAGACTGTTCTTTATTTTGTTCTTACTTTGCAGCATCTAGGCCCTTGGAAATTCAAAATAAAAAAAACAAAATAACTTGTTATTTTCCCTCTTTTCAATGTTAACCACCCATTCCCATGGATGAAGACCACCTCTAGTTTAGTTAGGGGAGGTGAGCTCTAGTTTAACTAGGTGGGCTGAGGTTGTTAGAAAAAAAAAGAATATTATTTTCTTTTCCTCCTTTCCCTTGTTGCTTTTCTCGCTCTTTTTCCTTTTTTCTCCCCATATTTTCTTTTTCCCTTACACACATCCCACCACCATATATAGTTTATATTTAACATCAGATAAGGGTAAATTTACCTCCAATCTATATTTTTAGAGCAAAATGATATGTGGCCATTTAAAAATGATATATGAGTGTACTTCAAAAAGTTCATGGAAAATAGAATTAGAGATAAAATGAATCCGCAAACTTTTTAAAGTACCCTTGTATAGTTAACTGTATCCTCCCCCCCCAAAAAAAAAAGCAAAGCACAAAAACAATATGCATAGCTAACATTTATGTAAATGCAAATATCTATATCTATATATGTTATGGATTGAAAGTTTGTGTGACCCCAAAATTCATATGTTGAAGTCCTAACCTCCAATGTGTGATGATATTTGGAGGTGGGGCCTCTGGGAGGTAATTAGATGCTGTAGAATGGATGCGTCCCATCCACACTGAAGTTTAATTCCCACTGTAACTGTTGAAGGTGGGAAATTCTATTATGGTAATTGAAAGGTGGGGCCTTAAAGAGGTGGTTAGATTGTAGGACCGTGCTGTAGTGAATGGATTAATAATGGTGGTCAGGGGTGTGGTTCTGAGCCTTTAAAGAAGAACACTTGAGAGTCTCTCTGCTCTGCCACTTTGTGCCATGTAAGACCCCTGCATTGCTGTAAAGCCACCACTAAAGAAGATCCTCACCAGATGTGTTACCTGGACTTTGGACTTCCCAGCCTCTGAAACTGGAAGCAATCAATTTTGTTTTCTTACAAATCACCCAGTTCCAGGTATTTTGTTATAAGCAGCAGAATGGACTAATACAGTAGGTATAGAGGAGGTCATGAAGATGAG